GAAGCGCCAGACTGTCCTTGCAAAGTTGGAACTGCCCCACTTTATAGAAACATTATGTCCTCTTTTGGAAGGCCAAACAAAGTAGTTTCGCTTTCACAACGAAACACACGGTGGGCTAGCGTGAGCGGAGGCGGGCGGGCTTGAGAAAGGTGCGGCTGGCAGATTCGACGAAGGAGCGTCCAGCGGGCTTGCGGCAACCACATGTGACGACCCCGGGCTGGACTCCTCTTCGTCCGCGGCGGCGGCAACAGCAATACTACAGCGAGAATAAAAGTTACGCCTTCTTTCTTTGCGTGAACATTTGGGCGGCGTTATGCAAATCTTCCCACATAGTGAGGTAGACATGTGGGGGCATGTTAGAACAAGCCGTTTTAGGAGGGCGTGGCTGACTCTTAACTTTTATAAAGAATATATCTTTGGATTTGAGACTTTAGTCTTTGCAACTTTACAGATCTTCTTTATGCACCAAGAGCTTGTAACACTTCAAAGAGAAAGGAAAAATTGAAATAGCATCATATGACCCCTTTAAATAATAGTCATGTATCGATTTAGACACCGATTCAGCAGACTTACATTCAGTTTTGCCTCAATTCTGGTATGCAAAAGCTACTTTTTATGATCCAACAAATTCTCAGTGGATAAAACTCTAGGTCCAAAACCATATATTTAACTGATTAAATATCCTGATTGCCTCAGAATTGTCATAATACAGATGCAAACTGTGAAAATACTTTTTGACTGATCTCAAGACTGATAGCATGTATTCTGTGTTGTTCAGGGCATCTGACTCTCTCTCTGTAGTATGCATGTATTATTGTTCTGAATCTGCATTTCTTTTGTCTCTGGTCTGCAGTGTGGAGCTGGACTTTAAACTGCAGGAGGATAAGCTCCAGCCTCTCATGAAGAGACTGTGTCCCCCGGAGGAGTCCCCGTTCCCCCCTCTGCCGTATCCTCAGGAGACCATCAGCTCCACGCCCAAACGCAAGTCCAAAGCGGAGGCCAAGAAACATGCGCGCTGGAAACTCTGGTTTCTGTGACCGCAGGATTACACACAACTGAGCATCAAATTTTCAGTACAGGAGTTCAGTGACAGAATGCATCGTTACAGGAGCATCTGTTCACTTGCTGTATTTTTTGATCAGGATGATTCAGGAAAATCCTATCAGATTGTTTTTGTTTTTTGCCCCTTTGGTACTTTATGGACGCAAGTACTGAACTAGGTTTGGAAATATCGCAGCTAGTATGAAAAATTTAAAAAGTTAAAAATTTAAATGAAATGGCTTTCAGAACCCATTTATGATGATATTATTTTACGACAATTAAACAGATTTTGCTCAGAATTCTCATTACCTTAATACATTGGCACATACGGAACAAATTAATTTAATTAATCATATCTAATAATACACACACACAAATATATAATGTTTTATTATATATTGATAATTATTTAGTTACTAATTAAATTATTACTAAATATTAGTCATTAAAAATATAATTTTATAATTATATATATATATTAATTCTTATTTATTTATAACTTCAATTATTATTATAGAATAATATTTATATTACTATTATAATTATAGA